TTGACTGCCTTCAAAACTTTGGCGTTGTTTTCAGCCCCTCCAATTTTGTCTTCGGTGTGTCGTCTCTCGAATTTCTTGGACACCTGGTCGACTCTTATGGCATCCATTCTCTGCCGGCCAAAGTTGCAGCTATCTGCGACTTCCCGCCTCTCTCTTCTAAGCGTCAAATTCTGCGTTTTCCGGGCATGGTGAACTTCCATTCTGCAGCTCATGAATCTTCGCTCTACTTCCAAACGATCGTTTGAGCTACCCGCAGACGCCCTCGCTGTTTTCGAGAAGGTGATGGTTGCCCTTGCCGATGCCACACTCCTGATGCACTATGTTTCTGATGCACTTATCTACCTCATGGTCGACGCCTCCAATGGTGCAGTCGGCGCGGTTTTTCAACAGCACGTTGCAGGTCAAACTCAACCCCCTAGCTCTCTTTTCCAGGAAGCTAACACCTGCCAAATCGCGTTACAGTACATCTGGACGGGAGCTCCTGGCTGTCTATCATGCCGTGAAACACTTCCGGCACTTCCTCGAGGGCAGTGACTTCGTTGTCTTCCCTGACCACAAACCACTCTCCTACGCCCTGAAGTCACAATCAGACAAGATTAACCCACGGGAGCTTGGACAACTGGGCTTCATTTCGCAGTTCACTTCAGACATCTGCCACGCAATGAGGTGGCTGACACATTGTCCAGACCTTCAATCGCCCATTTACAATTAACTCCCGGGATCGACCTGACTGCCATGTCTGCCGAACAACACCGTGTTGGTCTACCCTGTGATGAGGACGTTTCTGGACTCCAACTCTAGGAACTGCCACTGACTACTGGTAACGGCACCATCCTGTGTGACGTCTCCACCACCTCCCATCGTCCATTCATGCCACCATCCCTTCGCCGCACATTTTCTCCTTCCTGCATAAAATTTCTTGCCCTGGGAGTCGGGACACCGACAAGTTTGTCCCTGATCTCTTCGTCTGGCCTGGGATGCACAAAAACGGCAAAGCTTAGGCCCGGGCTTGCCTGAGCTGTCAACTGAGCAAGGTCCATCGGCACAACGAGGCACGCATTGGCACCTTCCCCAGCCCTGGTGCAAGGTTAAGTCACATCCACCTGGACATAGTAGGCCTCTGTCTAACGGGTCTTCCTACCTTCGCACCTGCGTGGACTGATTCACCCGGTGGCCGGAGGCTATCCATCTTCGAAATGTATAGGCCTCCACGGTGGTCAAGGCCTTCCTTAGTCATTGGGTTGCCATCTTCGGCACTCCCTCCACTATCACAACTGGTCGCGGTGCTCAGTGTGCGTCTAAACTCTTCCTGCCTGTTCTCTCCTTTTTAGTCTGTACCCGCATCCGCACTACAGTCTATCACCCTGCTGCCAATGGTATAGTCGAGTGGTTTCATCGCCAGTTGAAGGCCTCCCTATGTGCCGCGGCCGATCTGGAGAACTGGACGGACCATCTCCCTCTGGTCCTCTTGGGCATCCGTTCCTCCCCCAAGTCGGACCTTGACTGCTCCCCCTCTGAACTGGTGTTCGGCGCCCCTGTCCGACTTCCCGGTGAGATGATCTTGCCATCTCCTCAAGGTGCTTTCGAGGATCCTATCAACCTCCTGCACCATCTCCGGCAGTTTTTGCGGACGCTCTCCCCGGTTCCGCCCAGGCCCTCTGTCTTGAGTCTTATCTCGAGAAAGACTTGTCAACATGCTCTCACGTCTTTCAAAGATGTGATCGAGTCCGGCGACCCTTGGAATCTACCTACGAGGGCCCCTTCCGTGTCATCTCACGAGGGGCGAACGCCTACCGCATCCAGCGTGGCACTTACGAGGAGGTCGTGAAAGTTGACCGGCTCAAAGCTGCTGTCCCGGACACTTCGCCGGACGAGCCAGCTGGTTTTCCACCCCATGCTTCCCCTCTCCCCAACCCACTATTCCACAGTGTCGCCTTTTACCTCTTCCCTCCTGTCCACAACTACAACCTGCCACTGCTTCAAACTCAAACACATCTGCCACTGCCCAGACCAACTCCTCTTCTCGGACCCCTGTATTCTGTTAGGACGGCCTAACGAACAGCCTTAGCAAGTAGTTAGCTTGCAACTAAGTAGCCGCGCCCACAGTAGGCAATCGATTGGTCTACACGCGAGCGAAGACATCGTGGCAGACAATCAATTAATAATTTCAGTTTCAATCTACATTCAGTCACTTAGTCACCAGCCAATCCTACCGGCGACTACGTCAAGAGAGGAGTTGATTGGCTCGATGGAAAACGTGCTACACACGTTTTTTATCCTAAATACGTTGTACGTATTACACTAAAAGACTTCTGCTGTTGCACACTTCTTGTCGTGTTCTTCCTTTGGGTAACTCACACAAGGTGTTATAGGGCGGTGATATCTCGGCCTGGGCATCCGTTACAACATATATGTCGACCGGAGTAGACGTCATGTTCATTTCCCGACCGTTTTGTCACCCATATTTTTAAGCATTTGCCCTGCCATCGGAGTCGATACCCGCCGCCTTCCGTCTTGCCGGGGAATACTGTGGGGGTCTGCTGCGC